CAAGTGGTTCCCGTATCGCTATCTTATAGTTTCTACTTTTCAACGCATGATTGGCTTGGATATAATTGCACAAATTGAAACCTTTCGAAGCTTTATTTTTGTCTTCTAACTTTTGTTTAGGCTGAAAAGGACCGTCCTTCGAACGAATATCCGCACCATTTCGATTGATGATGCAAGGAATCAAAAGTAACTTATAATTGAAAAATATAATTAGTTAATTAAAATGACCTTTGCTATAATTTCGGCATCAAGTGCTCGAGGAGCAACATATTACATACCCGCACGAAAGTGGATTATATAACAAAAAATTGTTCAAAAAATTCTAAACTTATTGCACGGTTGTCAATTTAGTCGTAAATCTTTCGATTGTGTCAATTTTGTCCTGAACCTTTTGACAATTTACTAATGTAATTGTTTGATCAATTTTGGTTGAAAATTGCTGACGTGATAGTCTAGTTAGGGCCAGCCGTCTTACGTGATTACGTGGTGTGGTCAGCGCTGACGTGAACAATTTCTGCATTTTAAAAAAAAAATTCTTTTTTTACCCTTTCCTTTTTGTTTTGCCTGTGGCTAGGAGAGGGCCGGCCTTGCTTGGGTGAGGACATTTGCGGCTCTCGTTGGCTCACCCAGGCGAGGGTCCCTAGCTTGTGATCGGTTGTTGGCCATGGCCGAGTACCAACCATAGGGGAAAGGAAAAGAAAAGGGTAAAAAAAAGAAAGGAAAACAATAGAAAAAAATGTAAAAGAAGAAAATTAGAATTTTTTTTAAAAGATTTCAAAAATCATCAATGTTGGTGTTGATTGCGTCACCTAGGACGGCTATCATCCATGTCAGCCATTTTTTGCCAAAATTGGCCAGTAAAACTATATTGGCAAACTGTCAAAATTTTTAAGACTAAATTGACACGAATGAAAAATTTAAACTGAATTGTCCGTTGTACAATAGATGTAAGACTTTCTGGACAAGTATCCCTCGTTGGATAATAAGGCCAAATATAAAAATGGATTATATAAAAAAGGAGGTGAGGTGAGATGGTGAAAAGATAGGATGATTCAATGGATCCCACGAACCCTAGCTTTTAAGCTTAATTTAGTGTCTTAGCTCATGCTGTGTTGGCTTTAAAAAAAGAAAGAAGCTTTATATAATTGCGACAACATATAAAGTGATGATGAGAACTTAATTAACTATAGTTTAACTAGAAGATGAGATGCTAATAAAGCCCGGGAACCATAAAAAAAAATTGCACTTTTACTGTTTTTTGATGAGAAGTTCAAAAGGAGAATTGTAATCACTACCAAAAGGTATGACAAATTTTCATTCTCCAATAATGACGGCTAGGGAAAATAAATTAAATAGTTTAACCAGGCCACGCAAAAGCTTAGAGTGAGTGGTTATTAGAAAATAAAAAAATCTAATTATCTTAATTAACCCAAAAAAATGTTAATTTTCACACTAATAGGTATACTTGCGTTTCAGCCTATCAGTGCAAGCTTCAATTGATCATGCATATTCAACTTGATGGTTCCAAATCAAGCCACAAATTTATGAAAGGGGTTTCGGATATTGGCATTATGCGGTGAAATTCAAATAATATATGTTTGATTTGGAACTTGACAGTATAATCCTTTCCCTCATGCGATTGGTAATTAATCGGCATATATAAGGTCAAAGAAGAATTTTCATTTAAGTGTTCCGATAGCTAATGTGTAATTACTTCCGTCTACTCAAACCGTGCGGACTAATTCGAAAGAAAATAAGATAATTGATAACGATTGGTTTGGATGGACGGAGATATATCAATCCAAGAGCATTCTAAAATGTCTCCGGGACTCTCATAGTGATATTATCAATTATGGGATTTTTTTTTTCATGTATCATTGGAACGAAATATTTTATATTGACTTTTTGAGAAATGCTAGATTCGAAAACTTTTTACTAATTAATATTGGTTTATTGACTAGTAAGTTGACGATATCATATTGGATTCTTACACGGATAAATCCCTTTGAATATCATCTCGGGTATTGTACATATAGCTTCTGATGTCTCAGCAATAGAACCAAAAGGGGCCAAACTGCACATTTTCACCTCACCCTAGTTTGGCATTATATTATGGATTTATTACACGTGGATGTAGACAAGCCACATCAAAGCACCATGCTCTAATAACCTAATTCTTTTGTAATATGTGGTGGACCATTGCTCCATATATTTGTCTGCAATATCCAACACATGCTCAGCTAAAAAACATTGATTTGCTTCGTCACTTTTTCGATATCATTTCCCAAGAACAAAAAGAAAAAAATTATGGGAAAATGATGGTGTTTCGATTGTTATAGCAAAGGGTAAGTCTTGATCGATTGAAGAACTTCAGTGAGAAAATGGATCGAGTTAGCGAAAGGGGAGAACTTTTGGGGACCATCGAGAAGGGTCAATTCATGGAGTTCTTGCCAAATACAACGAGAATCCAATGCAAAGTAGGTCTTATTTCGCTATCTTGGTTTCAATGTATGCACACACAATGTGACACATGGAAACTTTGTGTTGCTTTTTAGATTGCCTTTGTTGTTAAGGCTGAAAAGGAACTGAACGTCCTTTATATGTATGACCCCAAGAAGTACAAAATGCTTGGTTGTCTCTCCTCCCCCACCAAAACCCCACCACACACTCCAAGCATCTCCGTTCACCCAAACATCATATTACGTTCTTGTTGGCTCTAGTAAGTTATGGCCTAAAGCTAGTGTTGTTGTGCATGCAATCTTATGTCCAGTTGAGTCATGTGCATTGACACATGTTTGTGATTGTCGCTGGAAATTACTGACGTGGTGTCCAGTCATCGCCGGCCGTCCTACGCGGCATGCCGATGTGAACAACTTGTGGATTGACGCGTGGAGCAATTGGCCGAAAGGACTATATTGAAATTTCATGTGAAGATTTAGGACTGTATTGGTAAAAGTGAAAAGTTTAGGACTAAATTAGCATCCGTACAATAGGTTTAGGACTAAATTGCTAATTTTTCCTCCCAAAATTTGTTTCGAATCAATGTATTAATCCCTCATGATCAAGTTACAATGAAATAATTCGTTGTGAATCCGTGTCGACGTATGTTGGCCTTCATCGGTCGGACATCAGCATGACACACAAAAGAGAGAGCTGCCATGCGATACTTTTCATGTAATTTACATTTGATCAAGTTTTCTAGGAAGTACATCACAATCCTTAACTGAAAATTTCAATTCACAGGCCTAATGGTTTGCCCTCTCCACAAAATCTATCTGATTTACCCCAGCCCAAGAGAGAAGAGATGCTTGGAATTAAGCTTAAAGGCCCATCTCAATAACCTGGACCATTCAATTATAAGTTAACCCGACCATGGGCTTATAATAATTGGAAAATTCAAGCTATTATCTAATCTTGATAGCCCCACTCATATGATCCACCTATCGTAATGATAAATAGCTCGTCTCGCTGTGACATTTTCTGGGGCAAAGAATCTGTCACTGTCTCGACTGTTCTACCGGAGGCTCTGGGGAAGTCAAAATAGGAGAGCACTCATCTTGGGGTAGGTTTACTACTTAGATGCTTTCAAAGAGTAGAACTTTGTGTCTGTGTCTAGGTGCTAAGACTAAACTTATCTATCAACCATTAAAGTCATGCTTATGAACACAAGCTACATCCGATTGAGATTGACCTTCCAGTCTATCAAACCCAGCCCCAATTACATCTTCCGTCATAAGTGGTAGAACAATGATGGTCACCATATAAACGTAAGGTGAAACATAAAAACTCACTAAAAAACACATTGTTCAAGATATGAAATAAGGTCTCACAAAGCTAATTCATGATACAATTTCTATCTCGAAAAGAACTCATGATTTCGTTAAGTTTAACCTTAAAATTTTTTAGCTATGATTAAAAAAAAGATATGAAAGTTAGAAGGTCCCACAAAGCTAATTCGAGATACAATATCTAGCTCGAAAACAACTCATGATATCGATCATTAAGTTTAACCTTGAAATTTTTTAGCTATGATTACACATCGATTGATAATCCTGCATGACACTATCTTAAACTTCTATGTATGCTTTTAGTCAATCGATTATTGCTCATGTCATGTACTTCACTTAATCTTTGTTCATTGGAAACTCGAGATCCATGAGCACACCTTACATTCTATCGATTGCTTTTATGGGTCAACTGCATTGTCAATTGTCATGACCTATCAATAAGCTTACTAGGCATTCTATCGATTGAGTTTTGTGAATTAAATACATTGTCATAGCCTGATTTTGACCATTCAATTCCTTAATTTTGGTCCTAGTATCAATATTAACAATTCAGTTGGAATTAGATTTATATGATCTAGAGATTATGCCATGTTTTTTCATGCCGGGACACCTCGCAAAGTGTCATAATTCTTGATGGGTTGCCACCTGACTATCCTCTCGAGGACGTAAGCAATGGCGTCGTACAAGCTTTTGAGAAGACGTAAATGTAAGAATTTCTTAATATGGGCTTCATTAATTGAAATTAACTGAATTAGTTTGGTCTAATAAATGTGAGATATGTGGGTTCTTAATAAGTCTAATATGGGGCTGGCTAGTGTGGGCCGAGTACGGCCCGGCCTGTAATGAGAGGACCCGTGGTCGAAAACTTTATAAATGGCGCTCAAGTCCCTCCCCTAACTTGATGAGGCACAATCTAATTCACATACGGATCTAGAGAGAACTTTCTTCTCGTGAGTGGCAATCTCATTGGGCCAGTGTTCTAACGAAGGGTATAGGGAAGAAGAACTTGAGTTCGTGTTCGGAAATCATCGCAAATTCCGCGTCAAGTTCGATGGATTCCAAATCAGGTACGCGAATCGATAATTTCTCCATTTACGTGTTTCGGTTTCTGATTATGGTGATCCTGGGCGTGCCATTTTCGTGGTCAACAGTAAAATGTCACGTTCTTTGGTCGGTAAACCTTTCTTTCATTCCTTTCTTTCATTACCAAAATGTCAAAGGTCCCAAACAGTCACTTCGAGCGAGACTCTACTGTACGTACTGAACTGGAGAGCTTCGTGGATGGCTAAAGGTTTCCCACCTGAGCCGCAGAAGACGCATTCACCAGTTTGGCAAACCCAGTAACAATATATCCTTTATGATCTCTGCAGATGCCGGCGACCGCTTCTTCGGTCGAGCCTTCGATGAAGGAGCCGACGTTGAACTTTAGGGATCCTTCGGCCGGTTGGATCCACCGCTGTGAAACGGTAAGCACATGTTCCCGGGTTGCTTTACTACTCCGGGTGTTCCATCTATTGAAATTAGCAATCAAAACCTCTGCTGATTACACTGTTTCTGGGGCGTCTGGTAAAATACACTAAAAGCCGAGTCGTTGCGGGATTTCCAGACTACACCAGAGAGTCGTCGCCACCAATGCCATCCGTGGTACATCTGCTCCTTCAACTGTGAATTTCGTCAACCAGTCATCAAGACGTGAGATTTCCTGATTATTGAATTGGATTTTTAAGCGAGGTTCAGCCCATACGAACTGTGTCCATGGACAAAGGAGAAAAATATGCTCAACTGTTTCAACTCCCTGCCGGCATAGAGAACAGACCGGGTCAGGTAATAAATTTTCCTTTGACGGGATGGCATTAGTACAGATAGACCATGGAAAGATGTTAATTTTCGGGAGTATCTGCACGTTCCATATTGCTTGCCAGAGTGCTCTAGGAGTTTGATAGGAGGATGAGGCTTGTTCACTTTTCTGGTTTCGTTCAATCTCTTCTCTGATTAGGTTGTACCCATTCTTGACTGTGTAACAACCCGATTTAGTCCCTGTCCAAACTAATTTGTCTCTTGCATCGAGGGGATTGACCTAGATAGTAAGGATTTCCTGCACTAACTGCTCGTCAAAAAGATCGTGAAGCTTCTGAAGGTCCCATTGTTCTGTTTCACCAAAAATTAAATCTGAAACAAGAACAGGATCATTTCTGTTTGTCAGTCCGCCTGTCCGGTCTCTATTAAGCCACCTCCTCCCTGATTTTCACTTTTTTTTTCCATCGCCAATCGACCACATAACAGAATGGGCTATGGCTTCTCTTGGCTTCTCTTCCTAGTAGCAAACTCTGCCATCCCCAAGAAGGTCTAGAACCTTTCTTAGCCTCCCAAAAGTCTCCCTGGTTGAAATGAATTCCCTTAAAGAGCTTACTCCAAAGAGAAGATGGATTTTGCAGCAATCTCCATACTTGTTTTCCTAGCATCGCTTTGTTTATTGAAATCAAATCTCTAAACCATAGACCACCCTTGTCTTTCCACAGCTTTAGGATGTCCCATTTCTTCCAATGAAGTCTTGTCTTAGGTTCGCTGTTCTTCCATAAAAAACTGGCAATCTTTTCTCAATGGCTTTGCACACTGAAACAGGAATTGTAAAGATCGACATAGCATACTGTGGAAGGGCTTGGACAACAATTTTTACCAGAATCTCCTTTCCAGCTCTCGAAATCAAATGCTCCTTCCAACCCTCTAGTTTAGCATTCACTCTTCCTAGAATCCAGGTGAACATATTTCTCTTTGCAGCACCCTAGTCCGATGGGATGCCTAAGTATTTGCCAGTATGGCTAATCTCAAGTATCCTTAGTTTACTGGACATGTTATCTCTTAACAATTGGGGGCATCCCTTGCTGAAAAATATGCCCAGACTTGTTTAAATAAATAGCTTGGCCCAAAACGTAACAATATTGATGAAGTATGACTGAGAAATTCTGACATTCCATAAACGGGTCAATCCAAGAAAAAAGATGGAATCATCTGCAAATAATAGGTGAGATAGGGTTGGGCAAAATCTGTTCAACTTAATACCTCTTATGCTCCCATTGTCCACTGCTTTGTCCATCAAGAAGTAAAGGCAGTTAGCCACTAAAATAAACAGAAAGGGGAAAGAGGATCTCCCTGTCTAATGCCCTTAGATAGGTTGAAAAAAGGAAGAGACCCCGTATTAAATTTCACATAAAGGACGCAGTTGTTACGCATTGCATAATCCAACTAACCCATCTTTCACTGAAACTCATTTTAATTAAGCAAGATCCCACTCTACAAGATCATAGGCCTTCTGCATATCTAATTTCAAAATCACCTTAAGTTTCTTCTGTCGATTTCTGGTCCTCATCTGATGCATGACCTCTTGAATAGGGAAAATATTGCCCTGAATTTGTCAGCCATCGACAAAAGCACTCTGTTCCTTCGCTATCAGAACAGGCAGCCATTTCTTTAGTCTATTCGCCTTGTGGGATCAAAGAAAAATATGTTCAACCGTTTCACTCTACATCGCCCAGTGGTGAGCAACTTTGGCAGCGAATTTTATGACATCTTTAAAGAGTCGCCCAACATTGGGCCCAAAAAGAGTTGCACAAAGGACGTCCTTGCATCACACGTGTCAATTGCAGAAGAGTCCTCAGTAATTTCTTACATAATTGTACATTTTCAGACATGTCTGTGTCCCGCGGTGCACACATGAAATCCGTTCCATCTTTATTTAAATTAAATATGAACCGATTTCGTTGATTAACTTTCCATCCTAATTTGCATCCTCCCCATTTTCCTAACTTTTTTTAAAAGATAACTTAAATTCCATATTCAGTTAATTATTCTATTATTAGAAAAAAAATTCCGCTATTGTTTAAGCCATCTCCAAGGGGGATGAATATGAGATTCTTGAATTTCTTTTTTCCCAGGGTCAGCGCAGATGTCACCTTGAGCATGTTGTCAGCAACTCTTATTCAGAGGACGTTTCCTCTTTATTATCTATCTGGTGATTTAGATTTGGAATTAACTTTAATATCATGCAGGGGAGGCTTTAACACAATCAAATTATGAATAATGACATAAATAGTCTCTGAATTTTGGCCAAATATGTAATGTGATCCCTGAACTTTTAATTTGTTCAATATGGTTCCTGAACTTTAGTCTAATGTTCAATATGGTCCATAAACTGTTAATTTGTATATGTAGTCTTCGAACTATATGGGGACATTGAACATTTTCCATATAGTTCAATCACTAAATAGGGACGGCATTTAACAAATTAAAAGTTTAGGGATCATATTGCATATTTGGTTAAAGTTCAGGGACCACATTGAACAAATTAAAAGTTCAGAAACGACGTTCGTATCAAATTGAAAACTCAAATCTCCAACCACTGCCACAAGAACATATGAATAAGATATATAATATTTCAAAAAGTAAAAGCTTGAGTTCCTTTCTGATTGATTGAGGTTGATGTAGGAATTAGGTAAATGTCTACACCAGCAATCTGACTTTCTAAGTGAGGTCATGATCCTTGGTCGAAATCTGGGGTGGGTTGATTTTTATCACCTCCTTACTAAGATTGCTTTCATCATCTTACAGGTGCCATCTGCCATGGACAATTTATAGCCAAATCGAACGAGTCTTTTGCTTAGATGACATAGCGATCGATGTCATACACGGGCAATTCTATAATTTCATTTAGAACAAACGGATTGGACAGAAATCTATTGAAATGTGTTGTTTGCAAGGGAGGGACTGGTGGAAGAAAAGGAAAAAATAAAAGGAATTTCCATAAAATTTGGAAATGAAGACGCCATTCGGGAAAAGAGATGGGTACATCATCGGGAGCTGGAGCTTTGTCTGCATCCACAGGTCGAATGCATAAGAAGAGAGGATCCATGAGAGCAGAACATAACTTCGACTTCAACCAGCTAAAGATACTTCTCCGCTGTAGAGTTTTACCTGCTTCGCGAGACGACACGGCAAAGAATCCTCCATGGATACCCAAGACAGTTCAATTCTGAAACAATCGCCAGGTCTGTTCTGTTCTTTCCTTCGTTGTTTTGATTTGATCCCACAAAGGCGATGGAAAAATTGGAAAGATTTTTGGCTTTTTGGGTGTTACTTTCGAAGTAATATAAGCAATCTCATGGACAGAATGTGGAAATTGCAACATTTCTTTGTTTAGTACTTGACAAGGTATCTGGACGCTCTTTTAAAAAATCCTCAAAAGAAGATAATTTGCGCCGAACTTGAGGGCATGTTTGATACGGGGAATTTGTCCAATTTCCTGTTTTTCTTTCCAAATTTTTTGAGGAAAATACGTTTGGTAGAAATTTTGGTTGCCTCGTTTTCAACTTTTGAACCTTGAAACTAAAAATGACTCAAATCGACATTATTTTGCACGAGCATTGCTTTGAAACAACTACACCAGGCGTGCTCCTGTAACTTTCATTCCTGTTAAAAGCTGTTACTTTTCACTCTCAAAACATATTTTCAAGAAAATGGAAGATGAAATGAGGAACAATTTTAATTAGAACATTTTCGTTAACCGGATATACCCTAAATATTTCAAGGGATTTTTTGGTGATATTGTTTTTAGAAAATTGGTGTAATGATACATGAGCCGACTCAAGAGGCGGAAATGTCGATTCGACTGAGCTAGCACTCATTCAATTATAGTTTTGCTCTATACCCGAGTTTAGGATACCGAAAATCATGCGTCGGACGCAAGTATATTTCCTAAAACGGCGTTGTTTAGAATTTTCTAGTACAACCAACGGAAAATGACTTCTAAATAATTTGGAAAGTGCAACTAGATAATCAGAAGTCAAGATAAATAATCAATGAATCGCCGGAATACGCACTCAATTAAACGATTTTTCACCGATATGGCACTCAAGTGATAAAAAAAAAAGGTCATGGTACTCAAGTGAGCGCCGTATGAAAGTGATGATACGTGTGGTGTCCTTATCCTCTTTTTTTGGTATAAAGAGGTTCACTTAGACGTGGATTCAGAAGGCAGGACAATCGATAAAGCTTTCCAAGGCGGTCGTAGACCAACTGAAGGTGTTTCACTTCAAACTTTTAGTTCTCATTTTTCATAAAACTTGTGCGGGATGCATTTTGACTTATTTTGCTTCGAAACATTTTAAATTTCACAGCATGCAAATGCTGACATATGATTTCAAATATAATCTCGTCATAATTTTTAAAATCTGAATAATATTTTGAATTATAACTAACAAAGCCCAAAAAAAAATTTACTTTGAAAGAGTAAAAGATCGTGCTCATTAATTATGAATGATATTGCAGATAAGACCTATGGCAACGAGAAAACTAATTCATGATACAATACCTATACCGAAAAAAACTTAGGATATTCGTTCAGTGTAACATGTATATTTTTTTTTAGAAGTTTACTATCTAAGTTTAATACAAAAAAAAAATTCCATGCAACGAATGAGCTTGATACTAGTCTTGAATGGATGATCTATAGCATACAGTGTATAATTAATTTTTCTAGGGTTATTTATGTTGTTTTCTCTTTTTGGTAACAAAGAGATTCACGTAGACTCAACTTCAGAAGAGACGGCAAATGATAAAGCTTCCCAAGATGGTCACAAAACAACTAGAGGTTTGTCAATTTCAACTTTTAATTTTTCCTTTTTCCATAAAGCTTGTGTTTCTTGCATTTTGACTATTTTTAATTTGATATATTTAAAACTTCACGGCATACAATTGCTGACATAAAAATTCAAACATAATCTTTTCATAATTTTAAAATCATAAAAATATCTTCAATTTTAATTGAGAAATCGCCAAAAAAAACTTTGACTTTCAAAGAGCAGACGAAGGCGCTCATAGAAACAGGTATGTTGAGTAATGACCGCCCCCTGATTTGCACCGGCATTTGATTGGAACTTTCAGTAGGTGCAATGGTTACACTTGACCTTAAAAACAAGAAGTGCGAAAGACTGAGGACTTTTAATGTTCAATATTTGCAGTCAAGCCAACACCGGTGGTCAATGAAAAGTATCGATTATTGTTTGAAGTCGCAGTAAAAGGTGATTGGAAAGCTGCCGAGAGAATCCTCAGTCACAATCCCAAAGCAATGACGGCCAAAGTTATGACTGTAGAAGGTGATGACCTTACTATACTCGATATTGCGATTTTGGTCGGACAAGATCAATTGGTCGAGAACCTGGTCAAGCGCTTCCCTCTGGAATCTGAAGCTTTCACTATTAGTGCCCTCTCCCATGCTACCCGGAGAGGAAGAATAACGGGGATAAAGGAATTAGTAGACAAACTTGACAAAGTTGGTGAACAAGGCGGAACCCTTGCCCTGTTGATTGCTACTACAAATGCTCCTAGGCAAAAGGAGGTTATCCGGTACCTAGCCATGAATACAAAATCCACCCCAGAGGATGATACCATCAGCAACCTCATTAGGGCCGGCCATTTGGGTAGGATTTCACACTCGCTCATCTTACCTGATTTCCTTCACTGTTTACTTGAATGAACTTTTTTGTTCTTATGTCCCAAAAGACATACTTTTGGATTTAGCTAGTCGATACCCCGGCTTAGCGACGACCGCAAATACCAGAAACGGTAGCTTGTTGGAAGTCTTTACACAGGTGAAGTCTTACTACCATAGTGGAGCTAAACTCAATTTTTGGGAAAAATGTATTTACCAATGTAGGTACTTCTTGCACTTCTTTTGTTAGATATGTACAATTAGAGCAACTCTATCTACATAATGTTCATTTTATCTATTCCCTTTTTAGGTATCCCTCGCTTGGTTGATACATCATTTGACAACGCCAAAGACATGAAGATGGTTCAAGGTATTTGTGTTAATATGCACGATGGATGGACTAACACGACAAAAAGCATATCATATAGAGATCTTATTCACAAAATAGGTAAGGGATGGGGACTACATCTATGTATACAATTATTATCTAAACCATGATGTGTGTCACAAGTTAATATCTAATTTTACATTTGTAAAGTGAGTTTGAGAAGTCTTACTCAATGTCTAATGGCCAAATAGAATTATTGAGAATTGTAAATTTGGATATCAGGTCATGGAGGTTGATTGATCCAAGTTATTTTCTAACATATTTGGGCATTATTAAATTTAACTACATGTGCAATTTTCATTTCATGAGTGTGATATGTATCTTTTTGTTCATCATAAATTCCTAATTTGTTGATATGATTCTTCTCTCCTCTTAGTACCAGCAATTCATCGGTTCAAAGAAGTTCATTCGTTCGATATCACTTTGGAGTCTTGCCACAAAATCAAGTAAACAAACTAACATAGTATCTTCAGACCCAATATAGAAAAGAGACCTTTTTTTATCCATGGGTAGAGATCTCTATTTTAAATTGGAAATTGATATTCTTGGTATATCCCTTTGAGATCATAGTTATTAATATGAACCAGCTCTTAATTCATATATTACGATATGATTGGATTCCATTCAATTCAAAGTCTAGTTGATATGTATCCATTTGGAGAATATGTAAACATAATTGAAAACGGTTCTATTGATCCGTTGCTGAATCTATCCATTTTTCAAATCTCTTTTTTTTTTTCATGACATTGTGTGTGTTCATCGATAGATCCATCTGCTCTCTGATGTATGCATTTTGATTTTCAAACCATATGACGTTTGCTTCCTTGATTAATATGTTAAATCCATGATTCTCTTCTCAACTACTATATATATATATATATATATATATATATATATAAGATCATGGCGCAAATGAGAAAGCCTTTATTACCTTTTGATTCTTCATCGCAGGCAAAATTGCTTATCTGATGTTACGTGCAACACCTTTTATCAAAAGGATTGGAGAATTGAAGTTAAGGCACGAATGCTCGCTTGAGTTAGCAACTCTAGTTTTTAAAGAGAAGAAGGCTAGTATGGAAACTCCTGAAATACTCGAATTGACTTCAGCCATTGTCCTTGACGCTGCATCTAGCGGAATCTCTGAAATTGTTAAGTTATGTCTTGAGAATTATCCGGAATTGATGTGGGATAAAGAATTCACGAAAAAACTAATGGAAGAAGTTGTGAGGGCACGACATGTTGAGTTGTTTAGACTAATAAATGCGTACAACACAATTCCAAAATTGAGGTACAAATTTCAAAGGAACTGCGACCTGATGGCGGCAGTAGTAGAATGGTCACCAGGATATGTACCGGCAGATGTTTCTGGATCAGCTTTTCTTTTGCAAAGGGAAATTCAATGGTTTAAGGTTAGTTCACCGTATTTGCTTGCCACTCTTTAATGTGATTACATTCATATTAATAGATGTCCTTTGTTTTGTGAAGATACTGGAAGATAGGAGCTCTCCTTTAATCAAAAGTCTGAAATTTAAGGTCAGTTCACGTTTATTTGTTTTGCCACCCTTTTGTGCTCTTCTATTTACATTTGGGTTGATAGATGAAGGTGAAGAAAGAAAAGATCGGTCCTTCTTCTGAAAGGCTGGAATTGGAACTAACAAAAGAAAGGAGGGGCAAAACATATTGGGAAGTTTTTCTAGAACAGCGCAAAGATTTGCTCAAAGAGGCAACACAATGGATGAAGGATACATCATCATCTTGTAGCCTTGTAGCGACTCTCATCATAACGGTAGTTTTTGCTGCGGTTTTTACACTACCTGGAAGCAACGACAACAGGACAGGGATCCCGATCTTTCTAGAGAAGGGTTCATTTATGGTATTCGCGGTTGCGGACGCTCTAGCTCTATTCTCCTCTATCACCGCCACCTTGATGTTCTTGGCTATCCTAACTTCACGCTATGCCACAGAAGATTTCCTCCACTCACTACCAAGAAAAATGATACTGGGCCTCACTTTTCTCTTCCTCTCTTTGGCCTTTATGCTCGTGGCTTTCGGCTCTGCTCTCACGATCGTCCTAAGCGAACGATTGAAGTGGATTTACATCCCCATTGCTTTGTTGGCTACCATCCCTGTCATAATGTTCGCAATCCTACAACTTCCTTTGTATGTTGAAATGGTTGAATCCACTTATCGGCCTCGCCTCTACCGTCCTGTCAAGATTTGGAAATGATTTGTGCTATTATTATTGAACAAGGACATCTTTGACGTGATCTTTGTTTGCTCTTGTTACTATGAGTAAAATGTGAATATCGTGGTGTTTACTCATTGTCGCGACCTAACCCCCGCCAAAGATCGGGTTTAAGCCAAGAGGTATTTGTCGATGGATATGAACATTAATTGATTCGTTTGGAAGACAAACCAAATGGTTCATTAATCCCATGACCGAGGATCTCCCAAGCCTCATACCTCGCGCGACGAGAATTGTCTAATTTACGCAATCAATTGGAGTCGCCACTAGCCATGATCAAGGGTCGGCTAGAAACCTTGATCGAGACGCGGGAGTGTCGTCTCGATACGCGCGAAAATCAGAGATTCCAAAATTCGGGGACTTGATTACACTAGCGATCTAACTAGTGCCCTTTCGGTACCTAAACTTGAATGTTCACAAACTAACGTACCGGACAGTCTATCGAAAAAACTAAGATTCCGCCTAACCGTTCTAAAAATAGAAAACAACAATCAATATATTAAAAGCGCAACCAGATAATCATAAAGAAAACAAAATAACCAGCGACCTAGCATCGTCTCTAGAAAGAAAAAGGCAATCAAAAGCCCTAAAGTAAAAGCCCTAATGGTTTATTCGATTTTTTTGAGAATTTTTTTAGAGGATTTTTCTCAATTTTCATTTTTTTTGAGTTTTTAACCTAAAATCTAGTGAAATTAAGCCCAAAACTGATTTCTGAACGTTTCCTAATTTTCTGATTTTTTTGGAATTTTTTGGAATTTTTCCGAATTTTTGAATTTTTTTTTGAATTTTCTGAATTTTTTAAATAATTTTTTAACATTTTTAAATATTTAATTAATTAATTTGGGATTTTTAAACATTCTCGAATTTTTTTGGAATTTTAAATATTTTTATATTTTTCTGAATTTTTGAATTTTCGAATATTTATAAATAATAAAAATAAAAAAAACCGGACCGGGTCTCCCGACCTGATCCGACCCTGCTGTCCGACCCGGGTTACCGACCCGCCCGAGTTTTTGAAAATTTGATTTTATATTCTATATATTTTTTTTCTCTTTTCTTTTTCTCTCTTTTCCTTTTCTTTTCTCTTTTTTTTTGTCCTTTTTCTTCTTCATCCCCTCCTTCGTGCTTTTCCCAGAACTCCCCTTCTCCTTCATATGCTCTTCACCGAAGGCTTGCCTCTTCATGCTTTCACCAAAACAACATCCTTTCAAGCCCCGGAGCCTAGATCATCGCCGAGCTACTCCCCGTCGCCGCTCCGACCGACACCAACCCCAGCGCCGGCCAACTAGTGGCCGGTGTTTTTTTTTTTGTGCCCCACCGGACTAATTCCGGTGAAGAACTTTCAGCCTACACAGAGAAGAAAAAGAACAAAACTTCAACATGGGACCTGATGAGCTCTATCCAAGCAGACCCCAAGGCACCCCAATGGGACGAGCGATGGCCTAATTCAGAATGGTGTAGGACCTTGAACTCAGCTGGTACAAGAGACATCTCCGACGGGAAAGACATACATACGGTAGGCTCGGTGGTGAACGTAGTGACATACAACCAAAAGAGAAAACATCAAGTCAGTGTCGGAGCGTCGATTCGACATAAAAAAAGCATAGAATGAAGATGATAAGAACGGGTTTTGGTAACAACAGTCTCGATGCTTGTTTAAGCATTTTATCAAACACGTTGTAGGCGAGTTTGGACGAGGGCTTAAGGTCGAGATCCAAGGTGATTTCTGCCTCAAACATGCCACATAAAGCTCTAAACGGCCACACCTCTCCTCATACTCATCTCGGTTTGCACCAGAACGCCGAAAAGATATACAACCAGGTTCGACATCATAAAGCTTAAGCAACTTGGTTCGGACATTTGATCAAACAGGTATGGTGCAGCCGAAAAGTGGATTCGCAGATCTGATTTGGACAAAATTTATGGTCGATTTTCGACATACAACGTCTATACCATCGTCACTGGGCGTCAAAAAAAATGTTTGCCTCGGTCGACGGGGCCGGGCGACCACCGAATAGGCTCGGTGTGCCCGGCACCCGAGAGGCGGGAGAAGGGGAAGCAAAAACAGGGGACCTGAGCTAGTACCCACCTGGTTCGCGGCCGACCGGAGAGAGGCACGACGGCTGGGGGGGGCTCGGCGACGGTTCAGGCGGTCCTCTGGTGAGCGGACGAAGCTCGGACCTCTCCGATTCGCCTCAACTTTCTCTCGGTCTCCCCTTTCTCTCCTCTCAAACTCTCTCGGACGCTCCTCGTTCTCTCCCCCCTTTGCTCCCTTTTATCCCGGATCGCGACCCCCCTTTTGGGACCACTGGCCGCCTGATCTCTGGCCCCCTCGACGCGCGACGACGCCCCCTGCTGCTCCGCGCCGACCTCCTCCCTGCTGCGCGTCCCCCCTTTCTGCTTCTTTTCCCCCTTTTTCTTTTTGTCTTCTCTGTCGCTTTCGTGAACAAGTGTGAGGAAGAGGGAAAGAAAAGTAGGTAGGGGGCTGGGCTGAAAAGGAAGATGGGTTAAGGATAAATGCTGGGCCCAGAAAAGAAAGGAAGAGGAGGACTTGGGCCTAATTGGAAAAAGAAAACAAAAGAAAGAAAAAGAAAAAGGGCCTAATCTGGTCGGGCTGGGTCGGACCGGGCTGGGTCGAACTGGCCCGGCTCCACTTTTTTTTTTAAATAATTTTTTAAATAATTTTTAATTTTTTAAAATTTTATCTCTCTTTTGCACTAATTTGGTCCATTTACAAATTAAGTACCGCTTTGGCAAAATGGGCAAAAATAGGTGTCAACACTCATGTTTTAAGACTGTTGAGGTACGATATTATCCATACTTACACTATAGTTTAATGTATGCTGTCAAGTGCACGTATTATCTCTATGGGTTATTTGGTATTTTCACCTAAACAGGGAGCAATTACTTCATTGCTTATTGTTGTATAAACTATCAAGGTGAACCCAATTCTTCAAAGAATTGGTAACATAGCCATCAATATTCAATAGGGTTCATCCATTCAAATAAAGCAATGATCCACACAAACTCTAACTACACAGGATGGCCACCCAAGTAGTGGCCCAACACAAGGAAATTCTCATGTAGCAAGCTGAGCAAACAACTATTTCAGTTCGGTGGAAGCTCAGCCTTCAAAATCAGTCTTCACCCACTGCCCACACTTGCACCTCATCCACTCACCCAACTCTTTGGCTTCGACCTCCGCCACCTTAGCCGCGTTGGCCATTGATTCCTCCTGCACTTTCGTGATCCTCATGCTCCGCTTCTTCTCCATCGCATTACCCCTTCCTAACTGCTCACCCTGCAACCGTTGTGCACAGTGCACGTCAGCACCAACAGCACCAACTCCATCAGAAACATAGCCGTCAAAATCCCTCCCTCCAGCCTCACCAGGTGTTGCACCAGGACGCCAAGCACCTAGCGAGACAGTGAAGCGAGGAGGGTCAATGTACCTGGATGCAATCGACATGTGGAGACGTTTTCAAGGTTGTGACAAGATGACAAGGTTAGATATAATCTCAGAGCAAACGACTTAAATCTTAAAGGTCACGTCACAACGGCCAAACATCAGAGAACAAATTGCCTATGAGCTAACAGATACTTCTGCACGTGTCTCTTGAGACCATAAGTCCAGTGAAAGTAAGCAAGAACAAAGTTAGTTTTGAATTCACCTTGCGATGTTAAGATTGATGTTCTGGGGAATAGGATAGAGGTTCTTCCTAAGAAACCTCAGAATTACTGATCTTATGCGGCTTTAAACCAACATTACGACTGACACATTTAGAATTAATCAAAGAACATGAGATTGGAAACCAAAGGAACCATTTGAACAAGAGAGGAGTTTCCTAACCCGAAGGTTCTCATGACACATGTAGAGATGCGTCTATTATGCTCATCCATAGAGGTGCAAGCCAAACTGAAATCCGACACTTAGGGCGTAAAATCATGTTCCGATAATGTGTTGCTGGCCTTGAAGTCCCCATGCATAACACGGTCTCAAGTCTTCATGCAAATAGCCAATAGGCTAAACCACAAGCAACACCAAGTGCTATCTTAGTATCTTCATCCTAGCTCCCCAATCTAGTCGGGGAGCTTGCTTGAGATAGACACTGGGTTTACACCTCATGAGGCACAATGAACAGCAAGACAAGACTATGTTAAACCTAAAGAAGTTGCGTATTAATCGACACCAACATACCATGCACATGAGATTCCACGCTGCCATTCGGAATAAGTTCGTAGACAAGGAAGCAGACACGTTCCTCCGGACATACTCCATTATGCTCGACAAGATTCCCGTGAATAGGCGGCTAAGGGCGCGCATGGAATCCATTCTGGAGTAAAAATTGTGCTCCAGAATGTATTCCGGAACAGAAATGTGTTTGTTAAAAAATTTCCGGAATGCATTCTGGAGCAATTTTTGCATTCTGGAATAAAAATGCGTTTGTTAAAAATACTTGATTCCAGAATGCATTCTTAATTCCAGAATGCATTTTTGATTCCAGAATGAGTTTTGGGCAAAAAAAAGAGAAGCTACTTTTTATAGCTTCTCTTTTCCAAAATGCATTCTCCATATTTTCTCTCTTTTTCTCACTAATTTTTTTTTTCAGAAAATGCATAAAAATTGAAAAATTCCAAAAAAATTCATAAAAATTTCCAGAAAATAAAAAAAAGTCAGATTTCGAATTCCAGAAAAATTCATAAAAATTTCCAGAAAATAAAAAAAAGTCAGATTTCGGGAAAATAGGAAATTTGGTGAATTTTTTTCAAAAAATATAAAAAAATCAAAAATTTCAAAACTTCACAGAATGGCTTACAATACTTTTGAGCACCCACTTTAAGTGAAATTTAATTTTTTTGAGGTGCCCAAAAAAAATCAAAAAATCAAAAATTTCAAAACTTCACAAAATTGCTTAGAATACCTTTGGGCACCCACTTTGAGGTGCCCAAAAAAAATCAAAAAATCAAAAATTTCAAAACTTCATAAAATGGCTTAGAATACTTTTGGGCACCCACTTTGAGTGAAATTTAATTTTTTTGAGGTACCCAAAAAAATCAAAAAATCAAAAATTT